TTACTGTGGTACTGTAACTACATGAAGTACTGTAACTACCTGAAGTACTGTTACTGTGGTACTGTAACTACATGAAGTACTGTAACTACCTGAAGTACTGTTACTGTGGGACTGTAACTACATGAGTAGTTTAAAATACTACAGATAGTACTGACAGGTTGATGTCCTGTACTGATCTGGAACGTGGTCCACAGCTGAGAGCAGTGGCTCCAGTGTTGATGAGCTGATAAACACAGTGTTTGAGTCTGTCGATGGCCGAGCAGCGATTCTCTCAGTAAAGAACAAATGAATAATCTCTTGCAGTCAGTTACACGTGATGGATGAAACTCACGTGATCAACCAGGTGAAAGAAGACGTGTGCTACGTCTCGCAGCAGTTTTATGACGACATGGAGGTGGCACAGTAAGATACACCACACTTTGCATTTGTTCACTTCATCTGTTCGTCGTCACTCGTTAGTTTTCATCATCAATCCTCTTAAAGTTTTTAGTTTTGCGATCAACAGAATCTTTTTTCTGTTGATTCTGCTCCTGAGCTGCTGTTTGCTTGTGTCTTCACAGTGATCAGTAAAGTTGAATTGAATGTAATGTTTTTAGAAAACACGTCTGTACATTAATGTGAAGCTGCAGAAGCGTGTTGCTCTTGTTTGTCTGAGTTAACGACTTAATTATCTTGTGACTTCAGATAATTTGGCCTCTTTAGAAGTGACAGCAGCTGGTTAGCTTAGCTTAGCATTAAAACTGTGAACGAGGAAATATCTATCCTAGCTTAGCATAAAGATTAGAAGTGTACTTTGATCCACAGGCGAACTTGATATCACTTTTCTTTATTTTCTTGAATGGGGGGGTTGTTCGATTGGACCAGCTGAGCTGGTGGTTGACTGATGGTTCTGTGTGGTCTGTTCTCAGAAAGAAGGGGGAAGACAATACTGTGATGGTGGATTATGTTCTTCCAGATTTCAGCTCCATCAAAAAAGGCTTCTGCAAGGTGAGACAGCATCAGAGGGGTTCCGAGGAGCTGCCTTGGTCCTGATTCATTGTCTCCTGATCACTAGTCCTCATTAGTCTTTGTGTCCACCAGCCCCGGGAGGAGATGGTGTTCAATGGAAAGTATAAGACAGGAGAGCAGATCCTGAGGTTGGTCAACGAGCGCTTCGCTGTTCCTGAGATGCTGTTTCACCCGTCAGACATCGGCATCCAGGAGATGGGCATCCCAGAGGCCATCGTCCACTCCATCCAGTCTCTGCCAGAAGGTCAGCTGTTCCCTGATGCTGCTCAGGATCACGTCTCATTTACTGAGTTTGTTTCCTTGTGGTGTGAACACACTGGTCTATAGTGTGTGTGTGTGTGCGTGCGTGTGAATATAAAGCCACTAACAGTTTCCTCTGCCATCAGAGATGCAGCCCCACTTCTACCAGAACATCGTCCTGACTGGAGGAAACACTTTGTTCTCCGGCTACAGGCAGCGACTGGAGGCCGAGCTGCGATCGCTTGTCCCGGCCCACATCCCCGTGTCAGTCCTGCAACCTGCAAAGTAAGTGACGACAGACAGAGAGCCTCGGTCTGAGGCAACATCCATACTACTACGACATTTTCAAACTAAGTCAATCTCTGTTTACACAAGTGTTTTGGCTCTTTTTGAAAATCCTGCCTGAAAACGTGACCTGTCCACTGGGCAAGGACGCATTAAATTGTATGATGCTGGCTCTTCTGGGAGAACGTCACGTGACAGGAGCCTGACGAATCAGGGAAGGCAGATTCAAACACAGCCCAGGAGTTTTCAAACTAAAATGAGTTGATGTGTTATCAAATGAAACCGTCGTCGTGTGGATGAAGCCGACGTGACTTCAAGCTGTGAGCCTCTGATTCCTGGAGTGAAGATACCGTCACAGATCTGCGTCTCTGACAGTTTTTAAAGTTGTTTCTCTTCTTGCAGTCCCATCTGTTACGCGTGGGAAGGAGGGAAGCTGCTGGCCCACAACCCAGACTATGACGAGATGGTGGTGACCAGAGAGGAATATGAAGAAAACGGACACTGTGTTTGTGAAGAGAAGTTTGACATTTGACGTCTACATGGAACATAAACTCCAGACTGTATCATACTTCTGATTAACTCTGCTTTCACAGTTATTCTGAAAACCCTGATTCAAACCAGTGAAATAAAACCTTCGAAGTCTTTTTCTACAGCAGAAGAATTTTTATTTTCAGTGTTTTGTTTGACGGTGGTTTCCAGAGTAACCAGAAGCTGGAGGCGGTCAGAGAGATGCAGAGCACTTTGTGTAGGTGAGGCTGTTTGACTGATGTCCAAGGTTCTGTTCTACTCCGCCCTCTGTTACATCGTTACAGGATGTTACCTATGGATGTTACCAGGAAACCTGAAAGGAGGCTGGATTTTCAAAATAAAACCCACTCTCTGTAGTTAGCCAACATGCTAACTTATAGAAATCGGGCTCATAATGAAAGTTTGAAATGAAACTACTGTGAAATATGAGTTTATATTAGCTTCTGTTAAATCCTGATAATGTGCTGGTGCTTTCATGACGTGGGAATGTTGTCTTGTGTTTTCTGCTGCTCATCTTTGATTCCTGTGCTATTCTTGTCATTTTATGTTGCTAATTAAATGAATGAGTGTTTGCAGTTAGCTAACGAGCTAGGTACAAACCCACTTTTAGCTCTGGGATCTTTTCCTATATAACTCAGTGAATTCAGGGTTTGTTTCGACCAGACGTCATTGTGGTTTTTGGAACTAGAGACTAACTGCAGCAGAGTTTGAACGCTGTGTGTTAGAGCTAAAGCTAGCAGCACATTTCACATGTGGTGCGTAGCTCCTTGTAGTCGAGCATTAATGTACAGTTCATCTGTGTTTCTGCTGCAGGTTTGGATTCCTGCTGTATAATCGTGTGCTTGATAACTGTGGACCTAAAAATCATAAGCTTTGTTTAATCTGTCCACCGGGACAATTACGCTGACATTGTCTATCATAATGCTTCCAAAACTGATCTCCAGCCACTTCACTGTGTCTTTACTGGTTAACAGAGAAATCAGCATCAGTTTAGTGTGGGGCTCCCTCAGATTGGAATCAGTTCCCTGTAAACATCCGATACTTTCCTCTCAGAGTTTTGACTCTGTGTCTCGGGCAGCGTGGAGCTGTGGAGTCTGTCCAACACATGCTGATGTACTGTCGCTCCACGCTGAAGGAAGGAGGGAGCTACCGATTAGCTCACTGGGCAGTGAGACCTCGATGGGACGTGTGAGAAGGACAGAGCTGGTGACGTCACTCTTCAGAATGAAGCTGACGACACAAGCAGCAGTGCTGTTTCTCTGCCGGTGGGGGGCAGCAGTGCGCTGAGGGGGCCTGGTCTGCCGGGAGGAAGAAGAGTGTTCAAACAGCAGACGGACTTCCTGTTCCCAGACACATGAAGGAGCTCGGTTCCGACTGATCTCGTGTTTTCTGGACGCGTCGGTTCGTTTCTCCTCGGCTCCTCCTCGGCTCCTCTTCGGCTCCTCTCACTCGACATGTTGGATGAAACCGTCGCTGGGTTGATTTCTCTGTGACTGTTTCCTCGTCACCGATGGATCCGGTCAGAACCTGGAGAAGCTCGTTAGCTCGTTAGCTCCTCTGTGCCGGTTGTTAACCCCGGCGGTTCCCTGGTGTCTGCCCCCGGTGCTGGATGATATGAGACCGGGTGTGACGCGCTTTTAGAGCCGGGGCCAGGTGAAGCGCTGGAGGCCATGGACGAGCCGGTAACCACCAGCCCCTGTTCGTCTGAACCGGACAGTCCCGGAGGACTGAACCGAGGGTGTCTGCTCGACCCGGCGGATCTGCTGTACCACGAACTGTCCGTCATCGTCCCGGAAACCCCCAGGTAACCCTGAGCCACGGAGAGCCCCGATCACTGCGGCTCATCAGCTGCTCGACACTCGGTCCTCCATGACAGACCAGGTGGAAGTGTAGAAAACCAGAGAAACAGAAGGAGATGAAACCAAACCTGAATATTCATTTACACTTCATCTTCCATCAGAGACAGAGAATGAAACTGTCCAGTGTCCTCTCACTTCTTCTCTTCTCACGTCCACAGGCTTTTCATTCTTCCTCTTTTCTCACCCTCTCACTAACGAGTCCATTCAATAACTCACACATTAAGTTAGCAGGAGCTGTTAGCAGGAGCTGTTAGCAGGAGCTGTTAGCAGGAGCTGTTAGCAGGAGCTGTTAGCAGGAGCTGTTAGCAGGAGCTGTTA